AGCTGGACAAGGAAAAAATGTTCAGCTCAAGTTAAACCTAGAAAATAGAAAGAAAAAAAAAATGTAATTTTGATTTTTGAACCACCTCTATTATCTATATATTAAAAGAGAAGTACCTAGAATATCCACATATAACCTTCTAACTTCAACAATTAATGACGCTGATGTGTCTCTCAATTTTTTTTTATTATTTTTATTTAATCTCCATTATCTTCCATAACGAGCCTCCTTTGATAGTATTGGAATTGGAAATACTTTGGAAACCAAATCTAAGCACTGCAATCAAAATACCCCATCAATCTTAAATACCCTATCCCTTCTCCCACTCTTTTCATTTTCTCTCCCACTCTCTTGACCCCTTCTTCAACCAAAATCTCATGAAAATCGAACCATCAAAATCAAAATCTCTATCTCTGCATAATCAAAAGCATGCGATGAATCCAAACATTAATTAAACAAAAACCAAACACAAATCTTTAATCGAACCCCATTCTTTTAAACCCTAAATCACTGTGAACTTGATAAACATTATATTTTGGTCGAAGAGTTCAGGAAAGAAGATATACTAGAAATTTTAGATTAAACAAAAACCTTTTTTTTTTTAAATATGGGATTAAAAGATTTAACAAATTAGTAATTACGAACCAATTATTTGTTAAATTTTTTAATTTCATATTTAAAAAAAAAATTAAATCTTCACTGGTTTTGTTTGAAAAAATTAAATGAAATTAAGGTGAATGGTTGGATTTGAACATGATTTAAAGGAGGAATCAAATCTATAATCATGTTTTCTTAATTATTAAACCAAATTATACTTTTTTTTTTTTTAAAATCAAAGAAAATTAAGTGAAAGAGATTAAATGTTATTAGTTTTATTTAAAAAATGTTTGAGAGTACGAGACCAAAACACACCAACAAATTTATACCATTATTCTTTATTGAAAATGTTTGATTCTACTACTAATTTATTTTTTATTTATTTATTAAAATTCAAGATTTTTACAATAACTTTTATAAACGGAACTCAGTTACAAATATTTTTATAAACGAAAATAAGTTACGAATATTTTTATAAACAAAAATAAATTATAAATAATTTTATAAATAAAAATAAATTATAAATATAAAGAATAAATTACAAATATTTTTATAAACGAAAAATATCTAATTGTAATAAATACTATTAAATTTATTTTTTTCTATAAAATATATATTTTAATTAGTTAAAATTTATTTTAGTTTAATTAAATTAACTAGACATTAAAACAATAAATTCTATATTAATCACCGATAAATGACATTTATTTATAAACATACTTTAATATGAGACATGTATTTAAGAATAAATAAATTTGATATGATATGATAAATATTTATTTTTTTCATTCTAAAAATATATGAATAAAATATATTTTCTAATTACTTAGATTCTTACTTGAAACAAAATATACTTTGAAATTATTTATATTTTTAAGAAAAGATAATAAAACAATACAAAATCAATTGAGATTTTATAATTTTTTTAAACTTATAAAATTACTAAAACTTATCATAAAATTTTCAAATTAACTTTATAATGTTAATCCTGATAAAAAAATGATTAATAGTAGTCATAAAATTTTAATGATAAATGGTAATCATGAAAAAAAATAATGATAAATGGTAATCATGAAAAAATAAAATAATGATAAATGGTAAAAATTTATTGATACAATCATTTTTATAAACGAGAATAAATTACAATTATTTTTATAAACAGAAATAAATTATAAATAATTTCAAAAATGGAATAAACTCCACTATTGATATAATTATTTATATAAATGAGAATAAATTACAAATATTTTTATAAATGAACACACGATTCAAGGTCTTTATAAGCAGGAAAAAATTAAAATAATTTTATAAATGAGAATAAGTTATAATTATTTTTATAAAAAGGAACAAATTACAAATATTTTTATAAAGGAGAAAAATTAAAGTATTAATACAATTATTTTTATCTGAAATAAGTTAAAAATTCAAGTATTAATACAATTATATAAGGTGAAACATGAAGAAGAAGAAGAGATGTTATTGATGGTCACAACAAAAGATGAAGAAAGATTCCAGGACCCATGGTACTTGAGGTATTTGCCAAATTTAAATCTACTGTCGAAAGATAAAGTGGTCGAAAGCTAAAGATTTTGAGGACTGATGGTGGTAAAGAGTGTGTGTCGAATGATTTTGATGCATTACGTAAGAAAGAAGGGATTGTACATGAGGTGGTGTCACCCTACACTCCATAGTAGAATGGAACTGCAGAAAGGAAGAATAGAACCATCATGAATATGGTGAAAAGTATGTTAAAAAATAAGCATCTACCTAAAGAATTATAGGGAGGAGATGTGTCGACTGCAACATATATCTTGAATAGATGTTCCAAGAAGAAGTTGGAAGGAATCACACCAGAAGAATGTTGGTCTGATGTCAAGCCTAACCTAAGTCATTTGAAGGTGTTTGGATCTATATCACATAGAAATGTGCTAGATCTGTTGAGAAGAAAGTTTGATGACAAGTCAAGTTAAATGATCCTAATTTGATATCATTCGACTGGAGGATACAAGTTGTTCGACCCAGTGAACAAGCAAGTAGTGATTAGCATGGACGTGATCATAGATGAGCTTAAGGAATGTGATTGGACTGAGAATTTCAAGAAGGATTCAGTGAGAATCTTATATGAAGAACCAACTAGTGAAGTCAAAAGAGAAGTTAAAGAAGAAGAAGTCAGAGGTGAAGCAGGCCCAAGCAGACCTCGACGAACAAGACACATGCCTGCAAGGTTGCAAGAATGTGTGATTACATCAGATGATGTGGTCAATGAAAAAGGTGAGCTGGTACATTATGCATTCTACGCAGATGTCGAACCGGTCAATGCAGTTGAGACATTGAAAGATTCAAAGTGAGTAAAAGCAATGAAGGAGGAAATAGAGTCCATTAAAGTTAACAACACTTGTTCACTTGTCGAATTGCCTCAAGGCAAGAAGGAAATCGATGTGAAATGGGTTTACAATCTGAAGGTGAATCCTAAAGGAGAAGTAACTCGACACAAGGAAAGACTTGTGGCAAAAGGATTTCTTCAGAAGGAAGGAATCGATTTCGACGAAGATTTTGCACCTATTGCTAGGATCGAAACAATCAGGTTAGTTGTTAGTCTAGCAAACATGAACAATTGACGCACATGTCAGATGGATGTGAAATGTGCATTCCTGAATGGACCCTTAGACGAAGAAGTTTGTGTTGCACAACCAGCTGAGTTTGTGAAACAAGGCGAGAAAAGAAAGGTATACAGGCTGCATAAAGCCATGTATGGACTTAAGCAAGCTCCAAGAGTTTGGAATAAGAAGATCGATAGCTTTCTAAGGGAAAAGGAATTTGTGAAGTGCACGACTGAGCATGGAGTATATGTAAGGAGAAGTAATAGTGAATTGTTTATACTATATCTCTATGTCGATGATCTGTTGATAACAGGAAGTTGTAAGAAGGAGATCGAAGATTTCAAACATGACCTAAGTGAGGAGTTTGAAATGTCAGACTTAAGAAATCTCTCATATTTCCTTGGCATCGAATTCTACAAAAGCGATAGAGGTTTGATGATGCATCAAAGAATATATGCAGGCGAAATACTCAAGAGGTTTGAGATGTAAGATTGCAATCCAACTTCGACTTCAGCTGAGTCCAGAATGCAACTGTGAAAGAATCAAATGAAGATGATGTTGACCCAACCCAATATAGAAGACTTATTGGATCACTTCAATACCTTTGTCACACAAGGTCTGACTTAGCATACAATGTGGGTATGGTTAGTAGATTCATGCAGAAGTCAAAGGTATCACACCTAGCAGCGACGAAGAGGATACTAAAGTATTTGAAAGGAACTCTCAACTAGGGCATTTTTTTTCCTACAACTGATGAAAGAAAAGAATGCAAGTTAGTGGGATACACTGACTTAAGTTGGTGTAGTGATGTTGAGGATAGAAAATCCACAACTGGCTATGTGTTTATACTAGCTGGTGCACCAGATATTTGGAGTTCGAGAAAGGAATCAGTAATAGCTTTGTCGTCATGCGAAGCATAATACATAGCTACTTCTCTTTGTGCATGTCAAGTAACATGGATGGTGAATCTGGTCAAAGAGATTACAGCGAAGAGTCATGGAGCAATTACCATGAAGATCAACAGCATGTCAGCTACGAACCTGGCAAAGAATCCAATAGCACATGGACGAAGCAAGCACATCGAAATAAGGTTTCATTATCTTCGAGCAGGTAACAAAAGGAAAGATAAAATTGGAACACTGCAAAACTAAGAATCAGATTGCAGATATCATGACGAAATGAGTGTAAGTCGAAGTGTTCATGAAGTTAAGGTCTATAATGAATGTAGATAACTTAGACACAATAAATTAACGGGTGTGTTGAGATTGTAATTCCTTGTGTCGAAACAGTGTAGCTCAATAAAAAAAATGATTAGACAAAATTAGTCTAAGGTGTGTGTTTGTCAAGTTGCTTAGATGTCGAAGTGTCGAAACAGATTGCTTGGCACATGATTTCCTTCAAGATCCCACTGTTTGGACACCTGTAATTGTGCGTTTCTCAACTGTCTTGCATGAATGTGGCAGCCTTTGAGGGACCCCTAAGGTTTTGCTGTGAAATTTTACGCAAGAGAGGTATATATATAGCAATTCAAGTTTAGTTGCTGAAAGGCTTATAATAGTTTCAACACGACCATAAAAACAAAATGAAAGCTTCTAATATTTAGTCAGGGAGAAAAACTTGCTTCATTCCACAACAGTTGTTGTATTCAATGTCAGTGGAACTCTTGACTTCCAGAAGAGTAGGGTCCTCTCCCAACATGTATATAACAAGAATATGGAGTGTACTAAATTGTGGGCAAAAAGATCAACCAAATACATAAATCAAAATAAAATTGTGCACAAAAAGATCAACCAAATACATAAATCAAAATGGAGGAATTGTCCTAAAGGTCTTGTAGACCTTCTCATGACATTCTAATTCAGTTTGAGCCTCCAAGATATTACATTCAACACTTTTCAACTTCATTTTATCATCAGCGAGGCGATATATAATCGATTTAACTTCTTTATTGAAAGACGTGATCATATCTTTCTCTTGATCTTGCATCTCAACCATTTTAACCCTGTCACCTTGTAATTTTTCAAGTTTCCCTTTAAGATCAGCAATCTGAACATCTAGAGATTTGAGTTGTGTTTGGTGGTTGGTGATGGAAGTTTTTGAAACCAGTATTTTCTGCCTTTTCCTCTTCAATTCTTGGTTATCTTCTTCTGTGCACTTTTTTGCTGTGTTACACTCTTTATTCAAATTTTCAAGTTTGTCAAACATACTCACAATTTTATTGAGAAGGTTAACAGTGAGATTAACATGTTCTAATTGCCAAGAGGAGAACGCATCTGCATTGGCCTCAATTCTTTCCTTGACCGCATTGAAGTTGAAGTTATCTTTTGGCGTGGACCCTTTTTTAAGATTTTCAACCAAGTCTTCTTTGAAGGCAATATCTCTCAATTCCACAAGAAGTTGCTGAGGGAGGTTTGGATCCAATTTCCTGGCTTCTTGTTCTAGGAAAGAATGCTGAGATCGCAGTGAAATGGTAATTTCTTCCGATAAAACTCTGTCGATCACATCAATGACATCATCTTCTATCAAAGCATCAACTTCATCCGAGTCTACGATGTTTACCTCTGAATTGCTTCTTTTGCTGGATTTTTCATCTTTAGTGGTCTCAATGTCCACTTCTGACTGTTGAACTGCAGTGTTTATGTGAACATTAGCTTCTTCAGCTTCTTCAGCTATATTGATTTTGTTTTGCTCCCCCGAGATTTTTAATCTCACCTTACCAATGTGCACAAATTGCAAGTATGAAGGCACATCAGGAAAAGGAATATATCTCTTACTATTCATAGCCAAAGATTTTTGAAAGCATATAATATCACCATTTTCTAACTGCATTTCATTAAGGGATAACCAAATCAATAAGAAATCAATGATAAAGAAATTGTGCATCAACTGAGAATGTGTACCTCGCTTTCTTTAAAGGTAAGTTTCTTATCAACAGTTTCACAACTCACATCTGGTTTAAAGCTAATTTCCTGGAACAATAGAAACAATTAAATTAGTAATGCAGCAGTAATAAATTCACTCACAGGATCAAATAACAAGAAATAACGCAACAATATACAATGATGATAATCTTTCATAGAAAGATTATCAAAAGAAATAACGCAACAATATGAAAGGATGAACTAGAAACCTCATAAAGTTCAATCTCTTGATCTGGATCAAAACCAGCCATTTCATTTAATCTTGCTAAAATGTCCATTGGCTTACCCTTACGGTTCACAAAGAGCCTTCCAACATAACTGCAATCACATGAAATATGTTTCAAGTCAACTAGGATTCATCGTTTATCCAAACTTACGTTAAAATCACACAAGAAATTGTTCAGTACCGTAGTGTCTCTTTTTCAAAATCATACAACTTGAAGAAAAGTAATATATCATTCTTTCCCAAGTTAGGAAGTGCGACGGGACATAAGTCCTATATATAATATGGTTAGTCAGCAGAATCCTATGATTGAATTTCATGTTATCAAAGTAGTAAAAACTTCCATATAAATTTTACCGGCCCACGCTCCACTTCCAGAAACAATGTTAATTCGTCTACGTTTACCAAATTAAATTCTTCATGGATTCCTACTGTCAACTGTCCAATCTACAATTTGAAATCAAAATGAAAAAAAAAACATCAAAATCATAGAGAAATTGATGCGCCTGACTACAAGGAAGAAACTATGGGATCCAAAAACAAACTCAACATACTACGACAATAATTATATAACCAGACTGATATAAGAAGTCACAAACACACTCAATATAAAAAATAAACAAGAGAGAAAAATCGTCAAGAGATCCTATAAATTTACCGATCCTAATTCCTCGATGTTTGTCAATGGCCGAGATGGTCGAATGGTCTGGTTTTCCCACCATGCAAATACCCAATAGCGTTGGAATTTAACTGGTATGCCAAACACAGTAGCTAGCTTTTTCTACAGTAACAATAAAACACAAAAATCAAACTATATAGTATAATATATGGATCTAATAAATGGGATGAATACAATCTATAATAGTGTTGATTAAGATGGTGATGATGATACCTTGAAACGATGAAATGATGTAACCTTTGCAACCTTGAAACTTTTCACCTTGTCAAGGGCCACAAGATCAAAACATATATTATGTTTTTCTAGGTTTTCATCTTGCACCACCTAACAAGTATTATATGTTATCGGTAAATAAAATGAATACAATCTAAAGACACAAGCAAAACAAATTTCAAGGGGAAGCAAACTTAGAACACCTTTATGATAGTGTAGTTGTGAGTCTCTTTCATTTTTTTATTTTTGTGTTCTTTCTTCAACCTTTCGTGGATAAATCTATTAGTAGAATAGAAATCGAAAGTAAATGATAAACTGTAATAGTTGTAGATGATTTTGACATGAAACACTGACCTTTGAATCTATCGCCTGGAACACGACCTTTGTAGTACCGAAAACTCTATTTTATAGACTTCATTGCTCTCAGGTAGAACTAGTAGCAAAATGTACTACTGGCTTTTGAGCTTCACAAATAATTAATCAACGTTTGAACTTTCTAACTTATTTATGGACTTCTTCATTTTTATTTATTTATTGCCATTTTGATTTTTTTAACATTGGAAATTGAACTTTAGAATATTAAAAAAAAAATTAATTAACATACACTAATAATGTAAAATTATTGATTTAAAACTCATATAAAAAATATTTCTTAAAAATTGTATATTAAATTTATTTAAAACTCACAATTAATAACTTTATTGATTTTTTCATACAAATGTTTTATCTATAATTTTTTAACTTGTGTTTTTAAGACACAAGTGAGCGTTACCTTTATTTATATCATAATAGTGCATTTGTGAGTCTCTGTCATTTTTATATTTTTGTGTTTTTTTCCTGTGTTTTCTCTTCAACCATAAATCCATTTGTACAATAAAAATTGAAAGTAAATGATAAACTGTAATAGTTCAAAATGATTTTGACATTGAAATGATAAACTGTAATTATGAAAGACTCTAATTTATAGACTTCATTGCTCTCATATAGAAGTAATAAAATGTGTGTGTCTTTTAAACTTCTTAAATAATTAAGCAACTTTTGGTATTCCAAACTTATTTATGGATTTCTTCATTTTCTTTATTGCCATATGCCTCTTTTTAACATTGGAAATTGAACTTTAGAATATTAAAAAAAAAAAACACTGAACTTACACAAGAGATAAACATTAAAGATTCAATTAGTAATACAATAATACATATTCTTTATGTTGTTTTTTAAGTGTCATATTTTAATTTTTTATACATATTAAAAAAACTAATGAATATTATTACTTTTTAAATAATACCCATCTTTAATTATTTATTATTTTCATTTTACTTTTTTTTATATAATAAATACTTAGGAGATAATTAATATTTTGAATTTTACAAATGATAATTAAAAAAAAACAAAAAAAAATCATGAATAAAATGACATTTAGAAAAAACAGAGAGAGTGTATAACAACTTCCCAAATTATAATAGCGTATGACTTTATAATATTAACCTTCATTTATTATATATGACAGAGAAAGTTAAATAATTGATATCAGAAATAGTAATAAATAATGGATAATATATTAAAAAAAATCATTAGTGTTGCATTTAAATGGTAAAATAATTTATAATTTGAAACAAATTACTTTTTTTGCAAAATGACTTATAATTTAGGACAAAGTGAATACGTGTGTGGGCAATTCAAAAAATAATTTTTAAAACATTTTCCAATTTAAATTAACAATCAATTATAATATTAACAAGTGAGTTACAGATATTTTTTAAGTGATTTTGTTTAATATACTTGAAAGATTTAAAGTTTTAATCACACAGTAACCTTTTTGGTTTATAGGTGAAATAATAATTACAAATAAAATAAATAGTATAAAATAAAATTAATATGCAAAAATGTTACCGAATTCACAAAAGAAATAAGAAAGAGATCAATTATAAGGATGGATAAAATTTGTTTATCCAATTCAATCAAACTGATATATTTTGCATTTCGCGTAACCACACGAACACATTGCAATCTAGAAAGACGCATTGCATCTTAGATAAATGTGTTTTTGCAAATGCATTATGATTTTCGCGAATCCTCCAAAACTGGTTTTAAAAGTCAAAAATTTTAATTCTCCACTTTGACTGTGGTGATGTCAATTTAACCATCGAGTTTTTTGTTGATTTTTCCGAAATTTGAATTATTATTCAATAAATTTGATCAAGTCCAACAAATTCTTGAACCTTGATCTAGGCACTTGCATTCACTTGAACTCAATCACTCTTTTTTGATTATATACACTAGCGATTCCACAAGTATGATTCTTCATTAGTGAATGACTTTTACCACTCACCACCTTGTTGCAGCACACGTGCAAGTTTGTTTGTGTTTCAAATATTGTTCAATAACTTTCTATTACTTTATGTTTGGTTAACCAAATGGTTGATTGTTTTGTGAATATTTGAAATGTAAGATAGCAGAAAATAAAATTGAACTTTTGATGTTAAAACATTAAACTTTGTTGGGGTTAGACGATCTCTCATCCTATTAACCAATATGTCAGCATTAAGTTTGAATAGTTAAAACAGATATTAAACCTAAGTTTATGCCTAAAAATTAGCCTACAATAGATGAAAGATTTTGATCAAGTAATGAATATATACCTTCCGAATATAAATTCATACCATGAAAATATGTTTTAGGTAGTTAATCCAAAACAAGCATTAAGAACGAAGAATACATCAATATTAAAACTTAAGAAGAATTAAATATAATGACATGATTGAGATTAAAACATAAGTTCTAGCACAACTATATCTAACTCCACCAAAAGAGAAAATTAGTTATGTTTACTCATCGTAGTTTTATAATCAAGCCATAGAAAAAAGAAGTTGAACAACATTTGTTAACGATTCCTCAGACAACATTTTATGCACTCAATCTTCCTTTCATATTCTCTCTTATTGTGATTTGTGGTGAGAAGCTAATTTCTCTAGGAACTACCTTAAATCCACCAATATATCTCAGATAAACTGTCTGAACCCCTATTTATAGGGTTTGAAATGGTAGGATTACTAAACGTACCGCTCAGGCCTACTTAGACGCAGTGCCAACTCACCTATAACTTTTCTTGCCTCCTTAGCTCGCTAAGTGCACCGTCCATGCTCGCTTTGCCACCAAACTTTTCCTTCCCCTTGAAGTAACTTAGCCCTAAAGTTATTAACTCTTTGCTCACTAACCGCACTTGTCTTCTTGGCTTAGGGAGGTTGGTACCTTTGCTCGATAACCTATGTTCTTGGCTTAGCGAGTCTTGATTTGTTGGGAAGTACTTTACTTTGGTGGTTTCTTATTCCTTTTTACCTATTTTTAGTCAATACATTCTTAAAATGTCCAAATAGGCGTTTAATCATTTTTATTGACAAATCGAGAGATTTTCATTGATTACTTGTAAAACAAGTTAATAAGTGTAACACCCAAAAAATTATTACAAAAATTATTATTATTATTTATATATTATTGCATTTTGATGATTTTATTACTATTATAATAATAATTATTATTATCATTATTACTACTACTATTATTGTTATTATTATTATTATCATTATTATTATTATTATTATTAATATTATTTGGAAGTAATGTTATAAATTATAATTAGTAGAGAGAAAATGAGAGAAATATGAAAAGAAAGAAATAGAGAGAAAAAGGAGAGATATAAGGAAGGGAGGAAATAGAGAGAAAGAAAGAGAGAAAGAAAAAGTGAGAAACAAGGGAAAACATGTACTTATGAGAAAAGAAAAGAAAATTATAGCCACTCTCCTTCTCCAAAAATCTAAGAGAAAGTCTCGAATTCACCAAGAAAATCACAATAGACATTGTGCAAGAAATAATGTTATTGTTGAGAGCTTCTCGAAATAATTTCTGCAATAACAAAGTAAGGGGAAGATTATTCTATGACCGATATTGTGAAATTGGACTCTGGACGAAGTGGTAATCAGTTAGTAACAGTTGGTAACCAGTTAGCCGTGAGAAAAATGAGTTTCTAGACAGTCTTTTGCACCTCTAATACACACAAATATGTGAGGCGTGGTTTGAAGTGTTGTAAAGCTAATAAATAGAGTTATCTTATTGTAATGTGTCATGAGGTTTTAAATGTGTGAATTATGTAGAAAAAGATTAATTGTGTAAGTGAGGTAATATTAGATATGTAAGTCTAGTGTTTCGATTAATACATGTGTAACCTAAGTTGTGAATGCTGCAAGATATGAGTTACTGTCTTGATAAAGGGTTATATGAATCAAGTTATCAATGTTTAGGACTTTGTTCCAATGTCTTGATAATACATACATACACAAGTTAAGTTGTTCAAGTTATGACGCAACTCCTGTGTTGATGTGATATAATGGTGTATTGTGAATGATCATGTTAATACCCTAAGGTTCGATAAGAATCAGTGTTGATTATGTTTAGATTTGCAATAGTCGTTGTTTTAGCCTAATGGGCAGTGTTATTAGGTTCATAATAAACGGTGTTAGCCTTAATTGGCGGTGTTAAATCTTGGTTTTAGAGGTTCATGAAATATTGCATTTGTTTGAAGCATCATGCATCATATATTTTCAGAATTAGGTTACAGCTTCGGTCCGGTGTTAGGACTTCGGTTTGGTGTTTTAGGACTTTGGTCCGATGTTTTAGGATTTCAGTAAAATAATATTGAATTCGGTGATGGAACCACATGCATGGGAGTAGATGGGATGAGTATCACATATTTATTCTTGTATATATCTCGTGGTATTGTGTTTTTGTGAATGATATGCTTATATGTTAAATGTTATCCTTGCTGCTATTGTATCACGTGACTTTATAGAATGCATTATCACCCCTTTTGTTTTGATGTTTCTCTATATGAACCCTTGTGCAGATGGTTACCAGGTTGAGACAGAGGAGTGATTGTTCCTTTTTGTTTATGGAAGATGGTGTAGATGGCCACTTCAAATGCTTGTTTTGGTTTTATGCTCCGTCGAACCTTAAGTTGACTATTAGTTTATTTTGGAATAATAGCTCTGACATTGTAACATTGAGGTTGGGACTGGTTTGATATGTTCTCTATCTTGTCTTAAACTGAATAATCATACCTAATTGTTGTGTTTTGAATTTCCATTTCTATTTTGAAGTAAAAGTTGGGTATATGTTGGTGTGACACCCTTATCTTATATTCTTGTATTCCACAATATTTTTATAAAGAAAGAAAAAAAATTTA